GGGGACATGTCCCACCCGCAAATGATGCCTATGTAGACATCTCGTTCTTGCCTTTATAATCAATATAAGAACTAGTTAAACTGATTCCCTGAGGCACGACAAGATGATACTAACCAATAACAGACACGCAGTCTTAGGTCACCTCGAAGGGCTTTGTCTAACCGATCGGTGGAAACTCTGAGTAATGCTGTAAGAGCTATTGTTTTGCTCAGTAATCCACTGGGGCTTCAAGTGACACTCCCAAAACAATGGGCCAAAGTTTTTTGTAACCTTTTAGCAATGTGAAAAAGTAGGAGTGACCCAACTTGGAACAGAGCTAATGAGAAAAGGGCTTTCTGCTTACTGATCCGATACATAACTCCATAACTCCCAAATGACATCACCATCTTGTCCTCTCTCACGGAGAGATGTAATTAGTGAGAGCGAGAGAAATGCACCTCAGAAATGAAAATCAACACATGCGTGTCTCCTCTATTGGCTCTGCAGTCCTCTGCAAAACACATCTGTTCTCTGGATGATCTAAACGTGCATCATGCGGCTGATGTTCAGAGCGTTTACAGCCGGGTCCAAAAGTCAGCATTTTTTCTAATCAATTAGGATTTATTAAATCTGTGTAAAAAAGAGAGAAGATGTTTTCATTCAAAATGATCAGCATAATCATAAAACTTTCCTCGAAAATTACATCTGACCGGCTGTACAAAGAGTCGAATAACGACACTCATTTATGTGATTCGATACCTGTCAAAAGTTTGGAAAAAAATAAAAAAAATAATGTTTTTGAAACAAGTTTCTTATGCTCAACCAAGGCTGCATTTATTTCTTCAAAAATACAGTAAAACAGCAAAAATGAAATATTATTACAAATTATAAGAACTGTTTTCCTGTGATGCAAATCTGGATTTCAGCATCATTACTCCAGTCTTAGTGTCACATGATCCTTCAGAAACCATTCTAATATGAATATGATTTATCAATGTTGAAAACAGTCATTTTGTGGAATGTTAATCATTTTTTTAATAAAATAAGTCAATGAACAGCATTTATTTTCATGTATTGCATTTATTAAATATAAATCTTTTGTAACATTATAAATGTCTCAACTGTCAGTTTTGATAAAAGTATTAATTTATCTCTTTTTTTATCTTACCACAAATGTTTGAATGATATCATTGTTTCCACAAAATTGTTAAGCAGCTCCATGGATAATAATGATAATAATAAGAATTGCTTCTTAAACAGCAAATCATAATATTAGAATGATTTCTGAAGGATCGTGTGACACTGAAGACTGGAGTTAAGATCAATTCAGAAAATTCAGCTTTAACGTCACAGGTATAAACTACATTTTTTAATATAAGAAATAGAAAACAATTATTTTAAATTGTAATAATATTTTAGTTTTACTGCATTTTTTAATTAAATAAATGTAGTATCGTGAGCATAAGAGACATCTTTCAAAAACATTATCAAATTTAAATGTAAAAAAATATATATATATTCATCCCAGCTTTTCAATCTAGTCTTACATTTTTGACCCTTCTGTATACGCCTGGACAGATTATCATCCAAATTCCCATGTTTCTTCATATAGCCAGGGTAATGACATCAGATCAAATTCATTATGTACCTGTATTTCATGCATTCCTTACCATAATCCATAAATGAAGGCTCATTTGGCTATGAAAGAGAGAATTAGAAGTGATGCATTGCCAATCACTGACCAGCCACCAAGGTTTCTTTGTGTGCAAGTTTCTTTTCCCTCTGTATCTGACTGAGCACTACGCCGGGATTGGTGCTCGGACAGTAAAAGCAAACACCTTTCCCTCAGAGCCGTTCAGTGTAACGCCGCACCTCATGCACACGCGGAGAAGAGTCCAAGAAATGCACAAACCAGGACTCTTTTTCTAGCAACAGTGTACTTTAATGTAACTGATTTGGATCGCTCTTTAATGTATATTTTTTGCCAAAACAATACAATGAGGCTGTAAAACATGAAGCAAATAAAACAACGTGGTTCTGTACAGCAATAGTAGCTCATTCACACATTCTAAGTCTGTTAACAAGTGGACATAAAAATATATATATATAATAATACAACACTGCTGACTAATACATGGAGGAGTAGGGAGCTGGTTTTGTTGGAGACTGATCTTTTTCGTGACTGCCTAGATAATTTCAGGTAAAAGCAAAAACAATTTCTGTGTGGTTTGGAAATGATCGGAAAACAAACGTGTTGTTTATCTGAGCCTATGCACCGAATGAAATGTCCAGAAAGGCAAGCAAAGCGAGTAAATACACATTCTAGTGTGCGGAATCCCTCTTACACCATGTCTACACCAGACACGTCAAGTATGACAAATGTAAATGGCTTCCAACTCAACTGTCGAAACGTTCTATATTCCAGTGACTTAATTGGTCACGCTTCCTTTTACAGTCCTGTTACCCATGTACTTACTATGTACTTACTATAGTTATTATAATTACTGGGTAATAACTAGGTACTAACCCTGAACCTAGCCCTAAACCTACCCCTAACCCATGTACTTACCTTACACTCTAAAAAATGCTGGGTTGTTTCAACCCAAATTTGGGTCAAATATGGACAAACCCAAATGTTGGGTTAAAAATGTCATTTAAAATTGTAACCCAACTTCAACTTTCACTTTCAACTGTACATTTTTAACCCAACATTTGGGTTTGTCCATATTTGACCCAACTTTGGGTTGAAACAACCCAGCATTTTTTAGAGTAAATACTTTCTAGGTAAGTACACTACACGTAAGTACTGTACTGTAAAATGAAGCGTTACCACTTTATTATGCTGGTTTTTTTTACTTGCAAATATCATACATGTGAATTGATTGCTCTGAATTTAATTCAGTATGTATTTAAATGTCTTCCTTGTAAATCAAAGTCATTTTGTGATGTCTATGGCCTACTTATTCAAACCATCTAACCAAATGTGCACATTTGTTTCAATGCTAAAATTGTGTCTCGTTCATGAAACATGACAAATTAACTTCGTAAACTGTACATTCATTCTTATGTAAACTGAGTAAGAGTGGACTTAATTCTGCACAGCTTTCAGGCCAACTGTATGTAAAAGTATGCTGGTATTTTAAAACAAGCCATGCAAAGTGGACTTTAAGAAAGCTTGTATTTTGACTGAAGTAGCCTGGGGCTTCCAGTGTAAACACGGTGTTGCTGTTATAATTGAAGCAGTCATTTTTACCTGACGTTTTGCTATTTTTTCAGCTCCTGATTGTTAAGTGCTTTGCATTCTTTTGGAGTAGGTTTTTTTAAGGCTAAGCAAAAGGGAATCATGGCAACCAAACACAGTTGAATATACGTCATATAGCACGTGCATCGAGTCAAAACAGACTGCCATGCCAAAAACAATAAGCCGCCGTCCGCATACCACCAGACAGTGATCAGTTCTCAAACATATAAACGTGAAATAAAATCTTTGGCAAAAATGAAGTATTTACATACCAAAAAAAAAAGCAATAATTGTTTTGAAGACATGGGACAGTTATCAGGGAGGCGTGGGTCGAACATCCTGCTTAAACTAAAAAGTCAATGGGTATTTTCACCTCAAATCACAGTTAAAACACTGCAGTATTACTTTTAATCTAAATTTAGCAAGGATTCAGAACTGGTGTGTGAATCGAAGGTAATTGTAGAGGATGCATAGATGGATATATGGCTGGCAATACCTGACAGCGCCTCACGATGGCAGTATGAAACAAAATACTGAAAATCTGCCTGAGAGAATCAATGACAAGTGGGTTTCGCCGAGGGCTGAATACTGGGAGGGAAAGGACGCCAAAATAATAATATTAATAATAATAATAATAATACAAAAATAAAGACACTTCCTTACTTTTCTTTACACAAAGCCTCTTGCAGTAAACACATCAGCCAACTCACTTTATCTGAAGGAACTTTAGGATGTAATCCTTACATATGCAAAAGCAACAGTGAGTTCTACTTTGAAGCCTATGTCCATCTAAAGCTAACGAAAAAAATGACGTGAGAAAATATCCAATAATGACAAGCTTTCCAAATACATACACTTTACACCATATATAATAGAATGCTCCTCAAAACCTCATGATTTTGAAATATTAGCCAAAATAAAGAGTATTTCTTTTGAAGGCTAATCTTTATGTAGACTATACAATATATCTATGGGTAAATGAGTTAGCATAGCGCAAAAAAAAAAAAAATTATCATACAATAAATATTCAGTAAAATCACTTTTTGAAGTATTTTATATATATACTTAGCTTACTTTGGGGTAGAATGATAGTGTGAGTGTGTTTTAAGCGAGGCATAGAGATACAGTGACAGATTCACACCTTACTGCCAGATACACAATGATACACACTCAGACCTGAAGAGAAGAGAGCTCAGCAAGTGGAGACCAGGAACTAATGGTGACGCTGGACACACGATTCGTCTTATATGTTGCTTCACTCAGCTCAGTTTACAGCTATCTACTTGGAAAGTGCAACGGGAATGGCACTTGAAGTCGGACGTCCATCTATTCCTGTGATTTCAGAGATATTTCTCCAGGCGGAAGAAGGTGAACGCAAAATTTGGAATCATATCAGTCCACAAATTCTGATTTTAAATTGTTATCTCACATTGTTCGTGAGCCTGGTTCCTCCCAAGGTTTTTTTTCCCGCCTTTGGCTTGCTCAGTTGGGGCTTAAAAGACAATTAATATACAGAAACACTGCACTGACTCAACCAGAGAAGAACAACTTGATCTGCATTGAGCTGGATTGTCTTCTGTACAGCTGCCTTTGAATTCACTTTACAACAGACATTGTTATTGAACTGAATTGAATCAACACTACACTGAATTGCACTGACACTATTTGTTTCTGTAAAGCTGCTTTACAGCTGAACTCTGTTATTTTCCTGTTTATGACTGTGAAACTATCTGTATTGTATAAAGCACTATATAAATAAATGTGACTTGACGGTATGGCGGCACCGAAATAGATGTGCACAGACAATGATAAACATTCACTTTTAAGCAAATAAAAATGTTTTTTCGACAACTATACATGCAAAACATAAGCAAGCATTGCAGAGAGAATGCAATTTGGCTGCTATACTTTTTGTTCGCAGTCAAACACCTGCAAAATTGAGTTTCAGGCAACAGAAAATTTCACTAGAAATCTCTCATATCCGACTTCAATAATGAACCTGGAAATCTGACATCAGGTGCCATTGCATTGCACTCTTTCGAGTAGAGAAACATCAGTTAGCTGCTGGATATCTCTGGACCAGAGGTGAACGAACACGCTGAATTACTGAATCAACGACTCCAGCATCCCACGTTCTCTCAGAGGAGCATCTTTGAGGGTGAAGATGTCTCACCCGTCCTCACTTTTAGCTTCTCCTAGGTCTGCTATATGAGGGACCTTCACAATCCCCACAAGGTTTTGAGTTTATCCAGAGTGGACTGGAAATTGCTTTTAGTTGGCATGTGAAGTGGTCTTGCACTTGTAGCGTGAACAACAGGAGCCGCTTTGAGAAGGAAGAGTTCATATGTACAGTTTCGACGAAGCAGCTGTGGTTTACCAAGATATACAAGAACGCTTGAATAATGATTGGTTTGTCCTGACTGCTCTCTTATCTTTGGTACTCCAGCCCCAGATTTCAGCCTCCTCATCAAACTTTTTTTTTTTTTTTTGACTTTTTCTTGTCCTTTTTTTTTCTAAAAAACAAGCAACAAAATCACTGAGATCATTTCCACGTCCCCCGCGAGTGAGATGAAGATCACCTCCTCTCTGTCCTTCACTCCTCTACGCCCACAGTGCACTTCCTCTGTCCCTCTTCCTCACTACCATCCGAATAACCCTTCCTCACACATTCACAACCACACGTTCACACAGCCTCTCACCCAAACATACAGAACTAAAAAACGAAACGTAAAAAAACCCCAAATCAAACAGAGCAGAATGGAAGTCCTCCAGAAAGCAGCGCAGTGTGAAGAGTTCACCGCTTCTGAGAGTTGATCATCACTTTAGAGACGAAGTTGACGATGGCTGTGGCCGGCTGATCGGGATCCATCTCAGCGAACAGGTGACTGACGTTGTCTGTTGTGCTCCCTTGCTTTCTGGCCACAAAGCCAAAGAACCTGTGAAGAAAGAAAGAAAAAAAAACTCTTAATATGCAGTATGAGTGAATCTAAAAAGTACTTTTCCAGGTCACTATCCTATTGAAGCTTGTTTCCGCCACAGAATAAAACATAAAAAAGGTAATTTTTATTCCGCAATTGCGTGTTATAAAGTCATAAATGCGAGGTATAAAAAAGTCAGTCTTTTTTTCCTTCAGAATTGAACTTTATAACTCGCACTTGTAAGTTTATATCACGCAATTCTGAGGAAAAAAGTCAGAATTGTTAGATAAACAATTATCTTTTAAATGGTTTTATTCCAAGGCAGAAACAAGCTTCCATACTATCCTACCCAAAATAAATAGAATTCAGAAATTATTAGGCTATGAATCTAAATCTAAACAGATTTTTGTGATAAATCACACCTACAATTATATTATATTTCATATAATATATTATAAATATATAATCATAAATATATTTACACACTGAATCCCTGAATTGATGTAGAATTAAAGGAAGCATATTTATAATAATATTTGTAAATTACATATTTTTTTAACTTGAGATGTACAGATTATTCTGATTTGGAGAGCGGATGCTGAATTAATTGCATACATTTTTACGTTTTACATGCTAAACAGTCCACATTAATTCCAGAAATTATAATTATATAATATATATAATTTCTGGAATTAATGCTCCTTTTGTGGTGGTATTATATTCAGGCTTCTCTTCTCTTCTCATCTCCTGAACCACAACAGTGGAATGATGTTCGCCGTGATCATGTGCTTTCATCCTCAAGTCTTCCTCTCTAACATATCTGCTAACACAGCCCTTCCAGAACAATCTCTTTCAAACTCTGCCCAGATCGAGGCGTGAGGGCTGTCACATGCCTCATTGCTCTGGGAGCGTAAAGTGTTCTGAGATCTGCTCAGATTGTGTGTGAGAGGATCATATTATACCTTTTTTTCCCTGAGGATCACTTATAATAGTTATATATAATAGTCACTTATAAAAGTTTTTCGAACGAAAAATCCTGTATGTTCTGTGGCCTCAGAGGGTAATTCAAGACACACATGTGTGAGGGTTAGCAGGCTAGCATCGGGTTGTGTTAGCAGCACAATCCCGCTCATTCATCATGACACCCCTGAGCATAAGCATTTTATCCCATGATGCACCAGGGAGGGAGAGCAGCGCTTGAGACTGATGCATATCTAAAGTGCTTTCAGATAACAGCGTCTGCTAAGCTGCAAAAGATCAAGTTCTTTGTTATCAAAAGCTGGTACTTACTTTGCAGTGCCACCCTCAGGTTTGCTCCACCTGGAATGACATTGAAACAGATTATAGATGTTTAGCTTTGGGATTTGACAACTGAAGCATTAGTTAAATAACAGTAACACATTTTATGTATAGAGCATTTCTGATATTCTCAAAGATGCTTTACAAGAGATAAAAACGATAAAAGGCAATACAATAAAATTAATCACACATTAAAAGCACAACGTTTTGAGTAACAATTTGAAAATAGACAAATCAATACTAATTCCAAAAACTAGATTTTGTCATTTCCTGAAGAACATGTGACAGGTAGGAGCTCATGTTGCTATGTACAATTAATACATCGTATATATACATCTGTATTAGGGCTGCACGATTTGGGGAAAATGTCATATTGCGATTATTGAGGTCAATATTGCGATATGCGATTGCGCTATAATAAACAAATGGTTTCATGAGTCAACTTGCTTGGTTCTAAAGCAAAATGCACACACAGATTAGTGATAATTCTGAAATATGTATTTCTCAACTCAAACTAGCAACAACAACTAAATGATTGATAACACCTACAGTATAATGATCAATAAAAATTAATTTAATTTTAATTTAAGTGAACTTCAAACAATCCTCACATAAACCCATAATAAATGTCATATTTACCTGTGCTCTTCCTGTCTAACAGGTAGGACATATACAGAAATTGAATAAAGTTATCAAACAGTCTGCGCTGCATAAATGATAAATTATATGGACTAAAATCCTATTTAAAGCTACACAAGTTCTTTGGTCAAGAGCAGCGAGTGTTTTTCTCTGTTCCCTTTGTTCTTTGATTAACTTTACTGACAGAAAGCATTATTGGATGCTGGCCCTTTAAGAGTTGCTGACAGAGACGCGGATCTCACACGCGCCTTATTCTATTTTGGCATATTTTGGCATAATTGTGTGTGTTATTGTTCGTTCACTTCAAGCGGAAAGAGAACTGTATTCTGGCGCGGTCTGTGCACGCGCATGATACTGGCGCACGTCTTTCAGTCAGGACATTCACAGGCAGCGCGCTCTCTTTTGACTTGTCTCGCTGAATGGTTTAAAGCATTCGCATGAATAAGAGCGGGATCATGTAAACACTAGCCAAAGGATGACAAAAAATAACAGATGCTGCGTTAACAGCCCTAATTTGTTTATTTCATATAAAATCGCAGTATTTTGCGTCATATAATCGCATAGGCTTGACATCGCGATTACGATTGCGATATGATTAATCGTGCAGTACTAATCTGTATACATTGTATAGTTTTTCACAAAAATCTCTGCTCTATTCTTTCCCCTACTATATGTTTTTATGTGCATTAATAATTTTTTGTTGAAAAATGTCACTACATCACATTAATATAATATGCATGTGATGCATAAAGAACCTTGAGTCTGAATACTTAGGGCTTAAGGTTAAATTACCTTTAGAAAAATCCTTAATTGTAATAATGAGCAACAACAGAAATACTGCAAAAGCACCACTAATAAAGCTAATACACTTACACATAGTTCTGATCCTGTCAGATCCACAGATCAATGTATAAATGCTGTGACTTTTGTGTCTAAAGTAATGCTAATGTTTCAGGGGTTTCTTACTTCCTCTCCTGTGGATCAATGTCGCAGAACGTGACCGTGCTGATGGGATAATGACGTCTGAAGAAGAGCCTGTGGAAGAAAGCACAGGAATGTGCTTTTAAAACATGTGCACATGTAGCTTTTGAAAGAAAGAAAGAAAAAAGAAAGAAAGAAAGAAAGAAAGAAAGAAAGAAAGAAAGAAAGAAAGAAAGAAAGAAAGAAAGAAAGAAAGAAAGAAAGAATTGAATGAAAGAAGGAATGAAGGAAAGGAAAGAAAGAAAGGAAGAAAGAACTCACGGAAGAATAAAAGAACAAACAATAGAAAGAATGAATGAATGAATGAATGAAAGAAGGAAGGAAGGAAGGAAGGAAGGAAGGAAGGAGGAAGGAAGGAAGGAAAGAAGGAAGGAAGGAAGGAAGGAAGGAAAGAAGGAAGAAAGGGAAGGAAAGGAAAGGAAGAAAGAAAGAGAGAAAGAAAGAAAGGAAGGAATGAAGGAAGGGAAAGGAAGAAAAAAGAAAGAAAGAAAGAAAGAAAGAAAGAAAGAAAGAAAGAAAGAAGGAAGGAAGGAAGGAAGGAAAGAAGGAAGAAAGGGAAGGAAAGGAAAGGAAGAAAGAGAGAAAGAAAGAAAGGAAGGAATGAAGGAAGGAAAGAAAGAAAGAAAGAAGGAAGGAAGGAAGGAAAGGAAGAAGGAAGAAAAGAAAGAAAGGAAGAAGGAAGGAAAGAAAGAAAGAAAGGAATGAAAGAAATAAAGAAGGAAGGAAGGAAGGAAAGAAGGAAGAAAGGGAAGGAAAGGAAAGGAAGAAAGAGAGAAAGAAAGAAAGGAATGAAGGAAGGAAAGAAAGAAAGAAAGAAAGAAGGAAGGGAAAGGAAGAAAAAAGATGGAAGGAAGGAAGGAAGGAAGGAAAGGAAAGAAAGAAAGGAAGGAAAGAAATAAAGAAGGAAGGAAAGGAAGAAAGAAAGGAAGGAAGAAGGGAAGGAAGGAAAGAAAGAAAGGAAAGAAGGAAGGAAGAAAGAAAGAAAGAAAGAAAGAAAGAAAGAAAGAAAGAAAGAAAGAAAGAAAGAAAGAAAGAAAGAAAGAAAAAAAGAAGGAAGGAAGGAGGAAGGAAAGGAGGAAGGAAAGGAAGAAAAAAAGAAAGAAAGAAAGAAAGAAAGAAAGAAAGAAAGAAAAAGAAAGAAAGGAAGGAAGAAAGAAAGAAAGAAAGAAAGAAAGAAAGAAAGAAAGAAAGAAAGAAAGAAAGAAAGAAAGAAAGAAGGAAGGAAGGAAGGAAGGAAGGAAGGAAGGAAGGAAGGAAAGAAAGAAAAAAAGAAAGAAAGAAAGAAAAAGAAAGAAAGAAAGGAATGAAAGAAAGAAAGAAGGAAGGAAGGAAAGAAAGAAAGAAAGAAAGAAAGAAAGAAAGAAGGAAGGAAGGAAGGAAGGAAAGAAAGAAAGAAAGAAAGAAAGAAAGAAAGAAAGAAAGAAAGAAAGAAAGAAAGAAAGAAAGAATGAAGGTGTTCCCTCACTTCCTGTGGTTGTCAGTGAGTGTGATGCCCTGCGCAGACACTTTGAAGTGAACGGTGGCTGAGGAGATCGCACTGCTTGTCAGGGTTTCTGAGATGGCTTTAGAGATGGCCTGAGGTCCAGTCAGAGACTCCATGTCCACTGAGTTTATGTACAGGACATTACATGCTGGGGAAGAGGGAAACATGCACTGATTAATAGCCATGTGGCATCTGCAAACATTCCAATTACAAGCAAGATGCACCTTTAAATAAACTCCAACTCTTCACACATACTGTGATCTTACCAAACATACACACACATATCATTAGTACATTCTGCATTTGCATAATCCAGTGGTTCTCAAATTGTTCTTTGGTTCTCAAACGCCAGGCGCGACGCAAGTGTTTTCTGCTAGTTTCACCGTGACGCAGTTATCATTTTCACGTCCTGCGCCACGTTGTTTAAATAGCAAATGCATTTGTGCGCCCATGGGCTGCTGGTCTGAGAACGAGGTGTGTTCAGGAGCATTGTTGGCGCGTTGCTATTTTGAGGAACTGAAATATAGACTGCACCATTGACCAACTGAAACTGGTCTTAAGTCAATGGCGCAGTATTTCTTTTGTTATTTAAAGAGAGCATTAATAATATGCGCCTATAGGCGGGTGCAGAACGCGCGTCCACTTTGTCCCGTAGATGGTCAGCTTGCGCGCTTTAACTTTGCGCACAAGGATGCAGATGATGGTTTGTATACCAGTTTATCTTTATTAAAATAACTTGATCCACATTGCAATAGAATCATGTACTTAACCAAAATATTGCAACAACTTATTAGCATTCATGATTGATTTGCGTATGATTGGGCAGAGCTGAAAAGACACTGAGAACCACTGGCATCATCTATCAGTAGATCCATGCATAGTAATCTAACATCAGTCATGAAGAACATGCCATATTCAATCAGAAAGGTGCTCTTGAAATCGGGGCCTTGACAAACAGCAGCAGCCAAACCGTTTTTAGCAGACAGGTAAAGGTGCTTCTGGAGGTCTGAACCATCATCACATGCACAGACAGTAAAAGAGGAGTGCGGCTCTCTCTAGACACGGCAGTCAAAGTCAGGTTAAACACAACAGCACAGATACATCAATGAATTAAACACGCAGAGCATCACCGGGTTTACCATGGGAGTCAGATGAACTCTTCTGCCCTAAATCATTTCCACAGGAGTGACACCAGGGTGGAGAAGAACATGGCAGTTGATATCAGATAATAAACAAGCAAAAATGCTTAGACTAATAGAATAAAATTAATGTATCAAGAGAGCATTAATAAAGAGCTAAGCTGGATCAAAATTGTAAATAGATTCAAATCTACCAATAAATGATCATTTTCGAAGGCTAAACACAATTGTAATTTATTTAGTTGTGCTAAAAAACATGAATGCATTTAATTCTGTTTTTGAACAAATGTTCCAGATTCAGTGCATCACTTTCATTGACATTACAGATTTTATATTACGGTAACACTTAATTTTACAGTGTCCTTGTTACAGTACATGTACTTACAATAGTAACAACAGTAAATTATGCATAATTACATGCAATTAACCCTCAACCAAACCCTAATCCTATAGTAGGTACATGTTGTTAATTAATATTACTCAGCACTTAATTAAATAATTACACTCTAACAACGATAGCTGAAAATAAAGAGTATCCTAACCTATATTACCAAATACCTCTATAAATAATATATAGTTTCTTGCTGCAGTTGAAGCAATTTTTTTTTACAAATTAGCTCACATTCTCTAGGTTTCCATTTATGTATAATTCATGCAAATTCGATGTATTATATCTATCAGTATTATAGACATTAGCTCTATCACTAGCATTTAAGGCATAATGTTAATTACCCCAAAATTTGACTAATCCGTCAGTTTTTTGTTTTTTTTACCTGAAATATTGTTGTTACTTGTAATGGAGGATTCCAACATCCCTGTATTGTTTTAAAAGCAGAAATGTGTAGCTTGTATATTTGTTAAAACACTTAAAAAAAAACCTGTTTATTATTCAAGCTTTTCTACATGGTCAAGCTTCTGGTTTTGCGTTATAGAACCTGAATCTGGAACATTGCAGTTTTGAGCATCCAAATGGTATAATCAATCTTTTGGAGTGCTCTCGGAGTATACATTTATTTGTAATTTTAACTGTTGGAAATGAAGCGTAAAAGTGGACTTCAAAGAATTCTTATCCTGTTGCGCCCTCTATAGGCCATGATCAACGACCAGTCGGCATTAAAGGGATACTCCACTTTTTTTGGAAATAGGCTCATTTTACAACTCCCCCAGAGTTAAACTGTTGAGTTTTACCGTTTTTGAATCCATTCAGCCGATCTCCGGTTCTGGCGGTACCACTTTTAGCATAGCTTAGCATACATCATTGAAGTGGACGAGACCATTAGCATTTCAAAAAAAAAAATGACCAAAGAGTTTCGATATTTTTACTGTAGTTACATCGTGCACTAAGACCGACGGAAAATGTAAAGTTGCGATTTTCTAGGCTGATATGGCTAGGAACTATACTCTCATTCCTGCGTAATAATCAAGAAACTTTACTGCCGTACCATGAGTGCAGCAGGCGTAATGATATGACGCAGCGCCTGAAAATAGTTCCGTTGTGTTGACGGAAGGTGGCCTATTTTCAGGCGCTGCGTCATATCATTACGCCTGCTGCTCTCATGGTACGGCAGTAAAGTTTCTTGATTATTACGCAGGAATGAGAGTATAGTTCCTAGCCATATCAGCCTAGAAAATCGCAACTTTACATTTTCCGTCGGTCTTAGTGCACGATGTTCGACAGAAGAGTCAAGGTTTAAATAGGAAAAATATCGAAACTCTTTGGTCATTTTTTTTTTAGAAATGCTAATGGTCTCGTCCACTTCAATGATGTATGCTAAGCTATGCTAAAAGTGGTACCGCCAGAACCGGAGATCGGCTGAATGGATTCAAAAGCGGTAAAACTCAACAGTTTAACTCTGGGGGAGTTGTAAAATGAGCCTATTTCCAAAAAAAGTGGAGTATCCCTTTAAGCTTAAAGGAGAACTCCGGTGCAAAATGAACCTCGGGTGTAATAACACATTGGTACAGACTAAATCGTTCCCTGAGATTTGTTTTCATGATAATCGAATGTAAAGAGTTTTATCTCTAAAAACAGTTTAGCTTATAACGCTAGTATATTGGCATAGAGTAAGCAAAAAGAGATCGCTAGTTAATACCACTAACAAGGCTCAAATTAGCCCCACACTAACACGGCAGCATAATGAGTGTCCTTACATGCAAACCGAAGCATTGAGAACTTTGTAAGTGTATAGACAGTTTAATAAGAAGATACTTTACACAGACAGTACAGTTAGCGCATACAGACAGGAGCCATCTTGGAAAACAGTCTCGACCAATCGAACCACGAGGGTGAGCGAACAGTACGTGTAGATATTGAAGATAAGATAAATTATATTTAATTTTTTATTTTCTCTGTTGCGTTCAGTGCTTCTCTTATGCGCTCAGTGCTTTCTTCCGGAAACAACGGACCATATGAGATTCCAAGTCACAGTTCAGCTCACGTATCACCGTGTTCGTGGTTTGACTGATCGAGACTGTTTTCCAAGATGGCTCCTGTCTGTATGCGCTAGCTGTACTGTCTGTGTAAAGTATCTTCTTATTAAACTGTCTATACACTTAGAAAGTTCTCAATGCTTCGGTTTGCATGTAGGGACCCTCATTATGTTACTGTGTTAGTGTGGGGCTAATTTGAGCCTTGTTGGTGGTATTAACTAGCGATCTCTTTTTGCTTACACTATGCCCAATATACTAGCGTTATAAGCTAAACTGTTTTTAGAGATAAAACTCTTTACATTCGATTATCATGAAAACAAATCTCAGGGAACGATTTAGTCTGTACCAATGTGTTATTACACCCGAGGTTCATTTTGCGCCGGAGTTCTCCTTTAAAGCATCATGGATGGCATTACTAGAGCATGCTAGTCTGTGCAACCCCTATTACACATTGATGTAAATATCCTCACCTGCACCCTGTTTGAGCATCTCTGTCGCCGGGTTAGTAGGAGTTGCTATCTCAGGTGATTCCTCCAGAGGATCTATAAAAATTACAGCAGGTCAGAGTTTAGAGTGTGTATATTCTGTCAGGTCGAGTGCTACGATCCATCATTCTGTTGCGGGAATTCTCGCTAGGCTAGGAATCAAAGCGCCTGGCAAACATGCGTTCACTCTGTGTTTGAACATGTCTGTGGCTTCATGCCCCCTGACACCTGGATGGCATATAGCAGTTGGCTGAGGACGCCACAGTGCAAAACTCACGATTATTCACCCTGGGCAAACAGGACATACATCATCATGACAGAGGGCGCAGCTAAGTGAGGTCATGATGAGTGGGAATGTACAGTACATGTACACAAACTCATACAATGGGCTCCAAAAGTCTCAGACTACTAGTGAAAATAGTACTTTTTGCTTTAATGACAGCGGCGCTCAAACAGACATGTTTGAAGAAAGGAGTGCAGACGCTTCAGGCTCTTATATTTATGCCAATTGTGTGATATTACATTAAAATGCTGGATAAAAACACCAAGATGCACATTCAAAAATCTGAAATATGCATATAAACCGTATTCGCTCCCATGAGAAGTATGCACATTATAAAAACACATTTACCAAATCCATTTTACAGACGTGCATGTAAAAAAATAATGTGACTTTAGGTGCGTTCACGCCATGTTGTAATTACCGTAATTACGAGATTTCAACTTGTAAAAAGCGTTCATGTCCTCTTAGAGCTCGTAAGTACAGCTTGTAAAAAACTCTATAACACCTGATTCATTTAGGCATTGATAGTGTTCCCATAAAACAATTCCCAGTCCGAGGACGTGCTCCGAATAGACAGCTCCAAATAGAATGTCACGTGTCAGATATATATAAAAAGCATCAGCAGCTTGCGTAGTGGGGGAAAAAAAACTTGATTTTGATTTTTGATTTTCCTAGAAGAGATAATTCAGTTCTCTTGAAATTTGCAACTTGCATCAAAACATAGCTAATGTCACAAATTTGATTAGTGACCTAGAAATAAAAAAAAATAATTTTTTTTTTTTTTTTTTCAAAATCCTAAAATTTATTTCACATTTAAAGGTGGGGTATGTGATTCTCTTTTTTGTACATTTTTTCAAAATAACTTGAAATCCTATTCCTAACCCACTTACAGCCACTGAGTTAGAAGCACTGAAATGAAAATTAAGCAATTTAATCATCTGTGGAACGGGCAGCACTCGAAAAACTCCAGCCAATCATTTCCAAGACCACCAGAATCATTGGACAGTAAGTCCGTCATTGTTGGATGCACCAACAATGACAATTCTGGGCTGAAACCAAAAGTCTGGATGCACTTAGCCAAAAACCAAAACCGAAAATGCTTTTTAGAAATGATTTATTTCTTATTTTAAATGAGCTTTTTTTAAATAATTGTATTAATATTAGACCTTTTAATGGAATTCAATAATTGTAATGATACAGAATTTAAAAAATACAAGCATATAAAATAACCAAAATTGTTTTGAACACTAAAATTGAACAGAAAATACATTAATATTAAAAATAAAATATATTATTATTTATTCAGTTATATGTAACAAAATCAGATTTAACAGATTTATTTTTTTATATTTAGAGTGAAAGCTGTGCGCTGAACACTGAGGCGCATGGCGGGGTGGCGTATATTTTCGGCTCATATTTTCGCCTGTTTTTCTCTTTCGGCCAAAAACCGAAAATGCCATTTTCGGCGGATACATTCCGGCAGCTAAAATTTCGGTGCATCCCTACATTTGAAGAAAAAAACAAATGCCATGTTTTCAGAGTGGTCTCAGACCTTTGGACCCCACTGTGTGTGTAGAGAAACAGATATGATTTCTCACCTCTGGTTGGTATGACTAGTTTGCAGGGTAGAGCCAGTGGAGTGATGGAGTGCTGGTAGACCAGTGCAGACAGGCAGCCTGGACACAGAAGATGAAAACAAAATTGGGGTCAGATTTACGAGCGGAAATCAGAGGAGGGCATACTTTACATTACAACTGTCCTGAAAAGGTCAAACTTTGATGCCAGGCCTGGCAAACTGTAAATCCATGTTGCTGAAGAGTTGTGGCAGTGAAAGTTAGGAGGATAGGAAGGACGGGAATACTAACATGTGGCATGTAGTCTTTCTTTATTAAACCCCTGCTTCACATATTTTACTATATTAGGGAAAACTAACTCTGGTTGGGCCTTGTTTGGGCAAAATGTTTCCTCGTGCGCATGAGAAATTGCTACGAAGCTGTTGCACTGCGGAAGCAAAAACGTCCAGGTTGATGGTGGAAAGGAGTCATTGTTGCCAATTTTAAATGTTGTTATCAGCTTTTAAACTCTCCTCCTTCAGCCATCAGATTTTATCAACACTAACAGGAAATGAAGATTGTTTACTCATTTCACTTTAAGGCCCCTTACAAGAATTTGTTCACTCTTTTTGTTCACAGCTATCGCCTTACATTTTCTCCAAACCCGACTTTCTTCTTTCCAGGGTGTGAATGAGGACAGATACTGTCAAGCTCAAAAAAAGACAAAAAGCACCATAAAAGTACTACAAAATTAGCCTATATGACTTGTGAACGATAATTCAAGTCTTCTGAAGCCATTTGTGAAGAAGAAAAAAAAAAAAACAGACCTAAATGTTATTTACTGAAAATCAAATATGGCACTGTAAAAGCATTGTGTCATGTTTGACATCAATGATGTTCAGTCACAAAATATTTTTGTCAAAAGCTATCATATGACTTCAGAAGACTTTGAATACAGTGCTTAAGATGCTTGGACTACTTGTATGATATGTTTATGTTGCTATTTGTCCTTTTAAGAGAAAAGAATGAAAGATTCTACTGAAATTCACTTTCTGTATCTACTAGGGTTGTAACGGTTCAAATTACTCACGATTAGGTTTTTACCACGGTTTTGGTTCGGTATTTGTTATGTTCAGGGGGAAAAATAATAATTAAGTAAATAAGAAAACATTTTCAAACTACAAGCACAACAGCACAAATAAATACAATAGAGCAAAGATAGAAATAAAATAAACAGTGCTTATCAGGTTATTTAGGTACAGTATCTTGAATAAAGTAATCAAATGTGAAACAACATTGCATATAATCTTCACTGTATACATTAAATAAAGATGAATCATTATTAAAGTTACAAAAGCTATTCATTGAAGATAATTGACTGATTTCCTTGTCTTTTGCCGCTTGATTAACATTAAAAAGCACATACAACAGGAATATTAGGCTGCTGTCACTTTAAGACTAATGGGCGAATCCAGTAAACTGATACTGAAACACATAAGTTGTCTTTCTCAACTGTTTACGTTCACTGAAGACATAACAGACTACGTTTGCTAGGGATACTTGCAAAGACGGGATGTTGACAACTTTTGTGTGATTTTGTGCGTTTAAGCGCAAGACTCGAAGAGAGAAATCAATATTTGCGTGCTGTCTGAGAGGCGGCTTTCTGTGTGCGTGCTTAAATTAGTTTATTTTAAACACAGATAGCATCGTGTGATGTTCAGGTCTCTCCTGTACTCGTGCGCTATCAACACCCGGGTGATGACGGAGTAAATGACTGCTCATATTAAGATGATTTAAAATGAACAGCGATGCAAGTGCGTGCCGAACCATGGGTGGAGAACGGTATGGTTAGATTTTTTACCGAGAACCGTTACACCCCTAGTATCCACAGGAACAAGTAAAAGCATACAAATTTGAAATTACACGAGGATGAACAAAATGATGACGACATTTTTGAGGTGCACAGTTCCTGTGAGCAGTGGGCGTCCTGGCAGACTTCCAGCGTCTGGAGGAGTGGAGCTTAGATACTATTGTACATTTATTAACATGAGCGTTATTCCCGAAAACACAGAAATCCTGCCAAATTTCACCCACACCTGCTTTCGTTCTCACACAACACAGTTTTTCTTTGTCTATTCTGCTTTTCATAATAAACACACGCTTACGCAACGGTTACCATAACAGGATGTTTGAGCTCTTATGCAAACGGCCCAGCCCTGGTTTTTTATGTCTCCTTATTTGATGTGGAACAGGGTATATTGGAGAAGACAGCCCTGTCCATTGAACAGACTAGGCCTCCGTGTAATGTGGTCAGCAGACAGTAAATTAGAGAGGGGCCGTCTTTGAGATGTACTTAATAATGTCAGCTGCTTCCATGCTGTCGTTTGGACTACATGTGTTCTACAGCTTTCTGGAAGCTACACGGACAGCTTGATTTAAAGGGAAGGATTCACATGTTAACTTACTGAAGAGCAAAAACCACACACGCATTTGTTCTACAAGTTTGACAGATTGGGCTTTCAACATTAGTGAACATTCAACAAATCATTCTAGTGTCAATGTTCTCAAGCCATGTGGAGCAATGAAGCAACGTAGGCAAAAATCCTGTGAAATAAAAAAAATGATTTTGAAGTCAATGGTGGCCCACACCTATTGGGTTACAAAATAGCTCACACATTTTTAGGTGAACTATCCCTTTAAAGGGTTAGTTCACCCAAAAATGAAAATTATGTCATTAATGACTCACCCTCATGTCGTTCCAAGCCCGTAAGACCTCCGTTCATCTTCGGAACACAGTTTAAGATATTTTAGATTTAGTCCGAGAGTTTTCTGTCCCTCCATTGAAGATGTATGTACGGTATACTGTCCTTGTCCAGAAAGGTTAGAAAAACATAATCAAAGTAGTCCATGTGACATCAGTGGGTTAGTTAGAATGTTTTGAAGCATCGAAAATACATTTTGGTCCAAAAATAACAAAAACTACGACTTTATTCAGCATTGTATTGTCTTCCGGTTCTGTTGTCGATCCGCGTTCACGAGTCTGCAGTGACGCTGCTGACGTGTTATCTGGTGTGTCCGTGTATTCGGGTTCAAATAAATATGGCTGGGCAAAAAAATGCAAGTCTTCCTCTGTGTCGAAATCCTTAGACATGTTTGCGAAGATTGTTTTGTTTACAGCGTGCGTCTCCCTCAGACTGTAAACGAAGCTCGGGCGCACCAGACACACGTCAGCAGCGTCTTACATCAGCGGCGGCACTGAACGCGGATCCACAACAGAACCAGAATACACACACACACACACACGCACCAGACACACGTCAGCAGCGTCTTACATCAGCAGCGGCACTGAACGCGGATCCACAACAGAACCAGAATACACACACACACACACACGCACCAGACACACGTCAGCAGCGTCTTACATCAGCAGCGGCACTGAACGCGGATCCACAACAGAACCGGAAGACAATACAATGCTGAATAAAGTCGTAGTTTTTGTTATTTTTGGACCAAAATGTATTTTCGATGCTTCAAAACATTCTAACTAACCCACTGATGTCACATGGACTACTTTGATGATGTCTTTATTTCCTTTCTGGACAAGGACAGTATACCGTACATACATCTTCAATGGAGGGACAGAAAGCTCTCGGACTAAATCTAAAATATCTTAATTTGTGTTCCGAAGATGAACGGAGGTCTTACGGGCTTGGAACGACATGAGGGTGAGTCATTAATGACATAATTTTCATTTTGGGTGAACTAACCCTTTAAAATCGAAAATTAAAAATGACCTTTTTTTTTTTTTATGTGTTAGCAACATGCAAACATCTACAACGGCTCAATAGTTTTAGTACAGAGCTTTTGTTTCATCAAAAAATTAAAATTGTTTGATTTACCAAAGTATGGCTCATTAGGGCAGCCCTTCAGTCTCACGCCCTTCGGACTCGTCTCAATTAGGAAATGTCTCACCAACTCGTTAGTGACGTCTCCGGCTGCAATATTGAAAAACAAGAAATAATATATTTGCAATACAATAATTTACTAAATGTATGTTTGTCATGATATATATATAAAAAATTTCTTCATGTCCATTTATTTAATATAATAAATAAACATAAACAAATGCATTTATTTATTTATTTTATTTTATTTACTTAATGTTAATAAATAAATGTGGAATTATATGAGAAGAAAGAGCACGTATAAGAGACATAAAACTAGCACAGCAAAATAAATCAGTTTTCTGGTACAGTGGTCAATTATGTACTTTGTCATTATACAAAAATATTTGACCACAGAATGTCACTTCTGTCAGAGGACCACTATCGTCAAATACGATTGACAATTAGCATACAGTTAGGATTTGCGGTATGGTTCTGTTCTGGGCAAGAACTCCCTGCGCATCCACACAGCCTACCATGGATAAGAGCAGGGAGAGCAGCAATAAACCCCTTAGGCTAAACAGAACAGAAGCAACATGAATGTATTGCAGATATCATTAATTAATATTAATGTACAACATAATTAGAGAATTTTAGTCTGATTCAGGGGTAATCAGAATGCCATACTGACTGACGAGAGGAGGAGCTGGGGATGGAGGAGGGTAATTCGCTCCTGAGAAACGCGATAGCTGCTGATAATACTGAAGGAGCTTAAATATGAATACAGTGATAGGCGTCGTATTCCTATAGGTAGACGTGGATCAGCTGAGAGTCAGCTGAAGCGAGCTTGACTAACGTGACCTGCCAGAACTGACGCTATGCTTGATGACTGACAAATCACAATCAAGCATTTCAGAAAGCTGTATTGAATAATATTGAGTAAAGGAATGAGTAGATGTTTTACAACTAGGTCAACCACTGACTTTTATTTTCCTCATGAAACTGCATGCGTTTTAGTGTGTGTTGTTGGGTGTGTGTGTGTGTGTGTGTCTGCTGAGGACACAACAGGATTATGATCCAGGAGGGGTCAGATCTCCTGTCTGGAATGCATTTGGCAAATTATTATGTGCATTAGCCACTTGCCTGGAGGAGGAACATGAAATACCTTTCTTTGTAGGCTGCGCTGTTGGAGGTGGAGAGGAAACTTTCATGGCCAAGCCGTAGGCCCCTCTGAATGAATGACTGTCCCGAATGACAAAGGCTCCAGGCTCTTGATCCTTCAGCATGTTGATCGCTAATGCAAGGGAGGAGATGGTTAGATCTCCATAGAATATCATAGTACATATGTAAAAAAAAAAACAATCCTTGTCAAAAGGCTATACAAGTGCAGTGTGAAAATCCCAATAATAACCAGAAAATATGAAGATTTTGTCCATAGCACTGGACATGTAACAATAAAAAATCCTTATTGTTCAGATACTAGAAACTTTATATGAATCTCTCTCTTTTTTTTAAATCCTGTATTAATATTAACAGCAACATTAATACTACAATATAATAATACAGTATTAATAAAATCAGTCCATTAACAGTGATATAGGCTTTGTTAAAATGCCCTACATGCAAGCATGAGTTGATGTACTATTGATTTATGACATGACTGATTTTTAAATATGCATTCACCAGAAGTCCCCCCCCCCCCCCCCCCTCATTATAATTCACAAGTTGGAGAAGTGAAGGTGAAGGCTATAATATGTTAACAAATTGCTGCTATGTCCCCTGCAGTTTAACACACAGAGATAGGGAGTGAAGGAAAAAACCTTGCTAAAGAGGTTTATTTGTTATCGTTAAGACAAGTTAATGAAGCAACAGATGCAGATGTTCGCTGGGTTTAACTAAGCACATATGTCCAATGCCGTGTGATGTCACTTCATGTGCTTGCGTTTAGAGAGGTCTCCAACGCAGATGATCTAATCCAATAAGAGCACGGAGGAGAACCAGATGTGGAGACCAACAGCGATTGACCTCATATAGGGTGGCGTGAGGCATATTTTACTGTTTATGGGAGTTATGAGCCTCCATTTGGGGGTCTAAATATAGATAAATTAACCCTGGAGCATACATATACTGTGTCCTTACCTTGGTCTCTGGAGATATCTGCTTTATACCAGAATTTGGACGTGTCCTGGACAAACTTCACGTTCATCCTAGTCTCTGGACTTCCATCTGGAGAATGAAATATGCACTTTATTTAGCAGTCCATCAGCTGTAAATATATATTAGTTTAGTATGCCTAAGCATATGAATGCACTACTCTTTCAAAACTACACTAATACACACACCTGTTTAAAATTACTCTCAGGATCATCAGTGTCTTATTAAATTATCGACAGCAACACCTATAATAAGCACAAGTTTCTTACAGCCCATAACACCATGCATTATTATTACAATAAAGTACAGGAGGCTGAATGTATATGTGAATACAGTCACAGCTAAAAGGTGGTGTTAGAGATGCAGCAACACATATCTGTAATACAACACAGCTTCAAGTCTCCTCTCTGAGAAAATGGTTGGCACATAATAAAAATATTAAGGACAGAATGATATTTTTGTACTATACTAGAAGACATGCAAGAAGAAATAGTCCATGACATGCAAACAATTACATAATGTTATTTTATGGGCACTTATCTGTAGTATTTATGGGCACAGGTTTTCAGGAATATTCATTGTTGTCTAATTAATTCTTTCCCTGCCATTGACGGAACTTTTCGTAATTTATGACACAACGCTTCCCAGCCATTGATGGAATTTTCATGTTTTTCAATGTTATAGAGTAGGGGGCGCTATTACACATATTCTGATATATTGAGAAATGCTCTAACATCTGAATATGTTGAGTCCGCTTTTCATATCTCCATTATGGTTTATAAAGTTTATTTATTATAATATACAACACATTTAATAGTTTGGGGTAATACTGTATATTTCTGTGATCAAAGCTGAATTTTCAGCATCATTACTCCAGTCTTCAGTGTCACATTATCCTTCAGAAATATGCTGATTTGCTGCTCAAGAAAAATTTATGATTATCATCAAATTTGAAAAAAGTTTGCTTTTTTTTTCGTGGAATCTGTGATTTTTTTTCTTCTTTTTTTTTAGGGTTCTTTGATGAATATAATGTTCAAGAGAACAGCATTTATTTGAAATCTTTTGTAACATTATGAATGTCTTTACTGACACTTTTGATCAATTTAACACATTCTTGCTAAATAAAAGTATTAATTTCCTTCAATAAAAATATCCTACTTCCCCCAAACTTTTCAACGGTGTTGTATATTTATCATAAATAATATCCTAGATGGCTTTAATGTTTATGATTAATTCATAATGACAATTAAATGTATTAAAAACTACACTACCAGCAGTTGTGTAGAATTAAAATAATTTTTCGTATTACTTTTTAATATAATCGTTTTATATTATCTTATTTACATTCAAATGGCAATGCAACCTGCTTGCATTGTTAACTGAAATGGAATTTAAAGGCATTCCATTTCAACTGATACCTAGTGGAATTTGTCTTCATAAAGTCTTACCGCACATGTTAAGTTTGGAGAAATCAGGGAGTGTGTTGAAGAAATGAACGCTTGGAGTGCTGCCGCCACTGGACACCGGCGAGGACATCTTTCCGTTGAGCGTTCCGTAGGACAGTCCGCCATTGGAGCGATCGCTGCTGGACATGCGTCTCTTCTCGGGGAGCTGAGGCTGGAGGGCAGGGCTGCCCTGTCTGAATCCCACTCCCTCTGTGTATCCGGCCGGAGAGACTGGGAAAGAGGGTGTGGATGGAGGCTGGTATCCAGAGGAGCTGCTCTGGCGGGACAGGGCTCCGTGACGCTCGTCCGGGGTGGTGTAGCCGCTGTACATCGGGTGCCTGTCCAGACTGGGGCTACCCTGCGTTATGGACGTGTGGTGTCCCAGAATGGGACTGCCCTGACTGGGATGTGTGAGTGAGGATTGCCTGCTCAGGACGGGGCTTCCCTGGTTGGGCTGGGTAACGGACGGCTGTCTACTCAACACCGGGCTGCTTTGGTTAGGCAGAATGATCGGTTGGTTGAGGGACGCCTGTCGGTTGAGGACCGGGCTGCTCAGGACAGCTTGTCCCATAGGCTGCCTGTTGAGAATCGGACTACTCTGAGTCCCGTGGGGGACGGGATACTGTCTGGACAACATCGGGCTGCTTTGCGTTCCCTGGGTCACCATGGTGTGTCTTCCTTGCATGGGACTAACAGACATTCCAGGCAGATGCCCGTTGGCCGGGGTCGGCTGTTGGCCCAGAACGGGGCCGTCCTGATTGGCTAGTCTGTGCTGAAGGTTGTAAGCGGACGTTATGTCGGGCAGGACAGTGTGGTGTCTTGTGCCAGGGCTACCGGTGAGTGGCTGGATGGTTGTGATGTTGTTTTGCACGGACCCTGGCAGAGACGGGCTGATATCGGGGGTGATGAAGCTACCCAACATGCTGCTGGAGGAGGGGTATGAGGGTGTTGGTGTTTGGTATGTTCTGTCAGAAGGCTGGGAGTGAAGGACGGAGTCGACAGCAGCCTGGGACAGAGAATTCATTCCCACCCCGCTATCGGCCAATGTGCTTTCACTGAAAGACCACAAAATAAGAGAACTAGAATTATTATAAAATATGCACAAGTATGACCCTTTACACCTGAAATTAACCCTGTAAAGCCTGACATATGAAATAAAAGTTTTTTTTTTTTAAATGGAAGTTTATTCAATCGTTCGACATAAATAAAAACACTTGTTGAGTATCATGTTTGACACATAAAAGGCTTTTATGGCTCATATGATATATTGAGTATATGGAGCTTACACTCGAGAAGGAAAACAAAACATCTTAATTTTATTGAGAGGCCAAAACGGAGCAAAAATATGCAATTTGGTGGTGTTGCTGATTTTTATATGCTCAATAGTAAGATGCAATTCTGATAACTTATAAATTAATGAGATTTTTTATAACAGTATAACAGGCTACTTATATCAAATGCATATACATATCAAAAACATCTCCTAATGATATGTGAGTCCGATGAAAATTATAAAATTTTGGTATCTGGATACTAAAATAAGCTGCAGAGTGGACCAAATGTACACCACTAGTCAAAAATCTGTATCTATAGTATGAAACCAGTGTTGTTATTAACTAAAACTAAAACAATTGAAATTATTATTTATTTCTTTGTCATTGAAATAAAATAAAATATTAATATTTAAAATTAAAAACTTAAACTTATTTCAGCTAAAGTTATTAAAGTTTAAGTACTAAAATTACTCAAATTGAAAATGAAATAAAAATTAAAGCTAAATTGAAATATATATTTTTTTTAATCACAAAAAATTACTAAAATGAAAATGAAAAATGAAAATATAAAAAAACAGCTCATTCAAAATATCAATACATGTTATAAAAATATATAAATAATACTACTACTGTATGAAACACAGGTGGTGGTCACTTACACTGCGTCTGGGCTCTGAATGGGGCTGCTGGAGGAAAGAGGACTGTTGTAGGCATGGGAAGGCCCGACAGGACGAGCTAAGCTGTCACTGTCATATGTCGGAGACACGGGCGATGCTGGCGGCCCACCTGACACTGTTGCCGCTTTGGCCACAGACTCCACATAGCTACGAGGCTCTGGCAAACAGACAAAGGGAAGAATACATGTGAGTGAGCACAAAATATTACAAGAGTCAAAACAGATGGATCAGTGTCCAAAACATGACTTTAGTTGCCTTAAATGACCATTGATGAAAATGAGTAGGTTTAGATACTCAATATTATTTTTATAAATGTATATATACTGTATATATATATATATATATATATATATATATACATACCGTATACATTTTTTTTATATAAAATATATATATATATATTAGTATATATACTCTGATTCATGAAGAAACTTCATTAAGGTGAACCATGGTTTATGTTGCTTGACCAACTTGATAAATTGATTTGAGAGAGATGAGTGAATGAAGATGACCGTTATGTGTATAAGATGAAAAAAAACAAAAAAAAAACAGAAGTTGAAGTCGTTTTTATGTACAATAACACTGTAATTCTAAATCTGGTATATTCTTACCTTCCTCATCCTCACTCTCTGTTTTCCAGACGGCAGAAGAATAAAATCATAAGACAGAAATTTTAGAAGTTCAAAGAGACGTGGAGAATAGAATAATAATTGCTAAAGTGTATAATAGTGTAGATAATCGTTATTTTAAAAGGGGTAGTTGATAGTCATTTTGATAGTTGATAGTCATTATTTACTGGTGCCATTCCAAACCCAAATTAATATCTTCCGTAAACACAAAAGCACAATCTTTTTGGTTTCCATATCAGGAAAGTGGAAGGTAATAGTATTTTCTTTTTTTAAGGGTGATATGACTTGTGCATTTTGTCTCTTTTTGTAATTTACAGAAGGAAATCAGTTGTACCGATATGAGGGTCATTTCACATTTGGCTGAATTATTACTTTTAAGAAAACAAAAAGAGGGAAATACAACCAAAGAAAACAATGTAATCTTCATTCACATTTTTTGCTGCTCCGAATACCAGCAGGCTCCGGTAGCCATTCAAATACCCGAAGTAACAGGCCTTATCATCAATAAGCACATGACATAATTTAGCCTAACTATGGTAGGACAAAGAGACCCCTGTGACACATCATCTCGTAATAATGTTAGCGTGTTTATCGTATGTATTGCTCTTGTTTTAGCAGGCCTCAAATAAACTCCCTCAGGAACGATGCTAAAATCAGCCCTGCATGAGAACTTGTTCTAAACTAAAGAGTCTCCACAACTCCCCATGGGATCCTGTTACCTCAGAGTCTACAAAAACTATAGTTTACGCCCGCTGGCCTCTGAGGATGAATCTCACCAAACCTGCCGAGACAAGACCGGGTCATACATCACCCCGAAAATCAAAGGAAAGAAAAAGAAATGTGGACATGTTTTCATCAGGTTCACCCCGGAAGACATGACAAATTACTGCTTTGAATTGAAAGAAAGAGTTAATAATATTTTTGCTGAGCTTGCTAATACCAAGATTAAAAGTAATATTTCTTTAAACATTAAATATAGCCTTAGGACAAAGAGAACGGGTAATCAGCTTAAAAGGGGCTCTGTGCCAAAAACAGCTGACTTGTTGTCTACTGCCTAGGGAGCTTCATTCTAAGGGAACATCCTAACTGAAATGGAACCTCATAAGTAACTGACCAGTTTGTAGCTTTCAACTTTGATAGCAACTCTGAAATGCACGGCATTATTTTATTTATTATTTTTATTGAGTTTGGTGTTAACATGATGCTAAACTAAAAACATGATACTCTAATAAGAATAAAATTACATACAAGTCCATTTTTAATTCAATTAAACTAGACTGCGCCATCTCGGATGGACAATTTCCACTTGAAAATGATGGGAATGTCTTTTCTGTTCCTCACAGAAACACTCCCATTCAAAAAGTTGTGGGTCAGAAAGATTTTTTTAAAAGAAATGAATACTTTTATTCAACAAGAATGCATTAAATTGATCAAAAGTGACCATAAAGACATTTATAATACTATAGGTTTCTATTTCAAATAAATGCTCTTTTGTACTTTCACAGTTTCCACAAAAATATTAAATAGCACAACTGTTTTCAACATTGATAATAATAAGAAAGGTTCTTGAGCATCAAATCAGCATATTTGAATGATTTCTGAAGGATCATGTGACAGAAGACTGCAGTAATGATGCTGGAAATTCAGCCTTGCATGACAGGAATAAATAAAAATAAAAAAAAATGTAGAGAGGAAAACTATTATTTATTATTTTTAATTCTATTCATATTTCACAGTATTGCTGTTTACTGAATTTTCGAATAAATGCAAAAGGCAGCTCACACACAAAAGTTAACAGAGCACAGTAAAATGATCCCAATATAACCGCATATGAACAGAAAACAGTAACCCATTTAAAGATGTATGAGCTCACGGCTCAAGAGACGAGAAAAGGAGAAGGGGAAACACTTTGAGAGGGAGAAATGAAAGGATATTTTGATATATGGCCCACAAGATGCATTTGATCTCCCTTTAAGGAGCAAGTCTTGGACGAGTGTCTGCATGTGCATTTCTGTGTGTGTGTGTAAAGTCTCACCTGAGCCCGTCTGGTGGAGCAGGATCTCAGCAGGATTGTGGGGCTTCAGGCCCAGGAAGGACAACGGTGTTTTAGCCAATCCTGGAGGAGATCGACCTAAAGCGACACAGAGCACAGAAAGAAGTTTATTATTCAGAGTGTTATCAACTAAAGCCTTCAGCCCAAAACATACTCTATAAGCAAGTACGTGAATGCAAATGATTATAGCTTGACAAGCTTGATTTCTCGTATTTCTGCACTCTGCACTTTTTTAATGTAAGAACGCATCCTGCACATACATATATACAATATATATTAGTGCTGTCAAATCGATTAATTGTGATTAATCGCATCTAACATAAAAGTTTGTTTATATATATGTGTGTACATATATATGTATGTGTTTGTATTTTTAACAAATTAACATGTGCATAATTAATTGTACTAAATTAAACAGCCCTAGTTCTGAAATTTGTCATAAAGATTCATATTGCATTATGTAATGCTGCAAAGGTGTGCTATATTGGTCTCGCTATGTTTTTAACTAGCTACTTGAAAATCCCAACACACATCTGGTTAATGGCACAGACATTTGAAGGTAACTCTATCACCCCCTTGAGTACTGAGGTTTGTCACGCCAGCGATGCTTTTGCCAACCATTCACATCTGCATTTGCGTACTTGCACAAAGTATGTTTCTGTTCCTTAGACCTTACAATACAGATCTGTGTGTACCACTTTCATCTCCAATGCATTAGCTTTCGACAATCTTATCAAAGAGACCAACTTCCAGATCACGAGCCTTTGAGAGACTGCCGTGGTACACACTGAGCTTTTAAAGACAGCAGACTGAGGTGGCTATTTCAGTATGTGACATGGCTGGGGAATGAGCTAATGTCTCATGCTCTGTGGCAAGGCCGTGCAAGCGCCTCTTTAAAAGAGTTAACGATGTGATTAACACTCGCTGTAACGATGCCCAGTCAAAAGAACGAAAACAAGACAGATCATGCAGACAGAATACACCTCAGCTGAACAGATCTCCAAAACGTCACATTGAAAACATTCAAGACCTCACTATACAACAAATGCTACGAACAACAGGACGAGTGACTCAAAAACAACGAATAAACAAAGGTGCCCAGCAAAAAAAGAATGGTGCGAACACACAAATGGGGAAAATAAATGGTGATGTGACCACAGAGCTGTGGAAAGCAGCACACTTGAAGAAAGGGAGGATGTCTCTAAAAAGAAACTTAATACTCATACTCAATTTTGTGTATTGCTGCATTCTGAAATGTGTCAGAGCAGAATGCATAATGCAATACACATTGCACCCCAAATATGATGCTTTAAGTGGAAAAAATCATACTTAAATTTTATTTTATTTTTTTATCATGCATGTTCACTTGCAGTTTAAAAGCCTTGTTTTGCTGCAGTAGTTGATTGACAGGTGAACAGGCAGTCCTCTGTGGCTACGTTCAGACTGCAGGTAAATGTGGCCCAAATCCGATTTGTTTGCTCATCTGTTTTTGTCATGACAGTGTAAATGACACAAACCACATGGAATCTGATCTTTTCAAGTCCGATTTTGGCCAATTCCACATGTGGTACTAAATCCGATATAGGTCTGAACAGTCATATCGGAATTCATGCGACTTTTACGTCACTCTAGAGTAGCATTCGGCACAATTCTGTGCTCATGGGAGTCCCTTCAAAGATTTTCCATAACCGACGTTATCAAGCCCTTTCGAAAGGTAGTCAGTGAAGGACATCGAACTTTAAAGGGGTCATATAATGGTACATTTACAAGTTGATTGTACTGAAATGTGTGTTGGCAGTGCCTGTACACAACCATCATAAAATGATAAAAATCCATCCAGTGTTTTTGTTTTAATCTCCTTATATGTTTTACCCTGCCTCAAATCAAGCCGTTCGACCGTGTGACGTCACACGTTCGGAAGCCCCTCCCACGATTGTTGATTGACAGGAGCGTTTCAACACAGACCCGCCCTCGCTCGTGAGCGAGCTGTAAATCATAGTCCGCGCGCACAGGCGCGGTCATTGTTGATATGCTGGAGCACTGTCTATGAGCAGAATGGCGTCTAAGCGATTGTGGTGTTCTGTTCTTGGGTGTAATAACGAACACAGTCATTTTAATGTTCCTAAATCCGAACCGCTGAAGACGCAGTGGCTGAGTTTGTTTTCGAAGGGAATATTCCCCACGAGCTACGTCAATGCTCTCATGTTTGCGCGAATCATTTCACACACCAGACTGCTTTATAAACGAGGATCAGTATAAAGCTGGATTTGCTAAGAAGCTGCTCATGAATAAAGGATCGGTACCAGATATTCGGGTTCCTGCTGAATCTCCAGAAGAACGGAAGTGAGTGTAACGTTTTATTAAACTTTATATTAATATATTAATCTTTGCAAATCGCTAGCTGCACGCTTCACGATGAATGCGTCTAAGGTTTACACTCAGGGTACATTACGGCATGTTTTCTATGTATGACGTTCTCAATATAATTCATAATCCCACGTTTATACTGAACAACGCGTTATGGTTATTGTGTTATTGAGTTACAAATGGTGTACGCACAGTACAGAGAGGTGGGGTGAGCAAAGCTCATTATCATTTAAAGGCATATGCACTGAAACGGCGTGCTGAAAACAGAGCTGTTTTTGACCAGGTAAAATAAGTGTTTTCTTACAATACTAATGAGAATTTTTAATTAAAGTATATTACAAACTTTTAATTTAGACCCTAAAGAATCATATTAGCTTGTACAAAAATGGCATTATATGGCCCCTTTAAGTATTACAGTGACAGGTAGCTCTATATAGTGACAAGCAAAACATGAGGGCTTATATCATAAGTGTTTAAAAACTCTATTTTGTCCGTATCGTCTTAGTTTTTTATATTGCCTGCGAATAAATAATCTCTTACTATAATGTCCTCCGTGTTTACTTCCGTATGACAGTTTGATGCGTGTCATCTTGTTATAGTTCTTTTGCGGATGCGGGTCAGTCCAGGACGATGATCTGTTCACACTGGAATCTGATATTGGCCACAGTTAAAACAACAATATAAACACCTATACAAAAAAACGGATCTGAGCAATAAATCGGAATTGAGCGCTAAGGCTCGGCAGTGTGAACGTAGCCCGATTGTGGTCTGAGTGATCGAATCACAATGTTTTGGACCCTGTTTACACCTGTATTTAGAAATGACTACTTCAGATAAGATCATGATGTGTTTGTGTAAGTGTGTGTTCTTCAAGGCTGCTCTCCACATGCATTCTGGGTAAGCCAGAGCATATGCTTGCCATTTGGCAGGGCCAAGTTGACATCATCGCTGACACACATGCATCCTCCACTTACCAAAGAATCCAAATCAATTCTTTGTTTGGCAGAATAAGTGCCTCAGCATTGGACACAAGGAGAAGGGGAGGGGGGTTGTGTAGAGAAGCTTTTCCAGCCTCTCAATCTCTGCAGGAGGAGGGAGCCACAGAAACGTGCGACCAGAACATGGCTATTGGAGCATGTGTCTGTCTGTCAATCTCCGAACAGAAATCGAGCCCCTATGGGTCACCTGCTCCCCAGGAATCCAACAGGACCGCTTCAGAAAGTTCTACACATAACGTGAGCCGATCTTTTGAATAAACCTCATAACAGTATGCTGAGGATGTTCACTAGGGGACTTTTTCCAGACATTTGATCATGTTCAATATTTATGTATTTGCTCTAAAATGACTTAAAATTATACTTTTTTCTCTCAATCATTTAGGATAATTTCTACCATTTTAACAGTCAATACTGGAAAATACATTCAAATATTTAAGTCAAAAAGGAAAATACAGTAAAAATCTAATTTGAAAGTAAAAAGGCATGTATTTTTAGTAAAACATTTTAATGCAGACTTGATTGTTGAATCTGAGTTATGAATCTATTAATTGAATCAAATTCAAATTGTCTGAAGTTTGAAATGATTGATTTAAATGAATCAAACTTACTAGATTGTTTTTTCTTCGACTAAAGTTAAAATTATTAAAAAAAAAATATATATATATATATATATATATATATATTTTATATATTTATATAAAAATTTATATATTATAAACAGCAATAGTTACCTATACATATATTTTAACTCAAACATTTTGACTCACAGACATGCAATGGTTAGAGTTCGAATTGATTCTTTTAAACAGGCTGTTTAAACTGACTCAAACTTAACAATTCTAACGCCAACGTACCAAGTCTCATTCTCATACTTAAAGGTTTAGACAAAGAGGGATTACAAAACTACTCTAATGAAATGGCCGAATAAACCTCACAAATATAACATGAATATAGAAAATATTGTTCAGTCCTAATGTCCATTAAATATCCTGGGATAATGTAACACACAAGGACAAGATTTGATTGATTATGTTTTGTGTTATTGTAGGCTGAAGCTTCGTTTTGTTCTCTGAAGCCACATCTAGGTACTCATGGTAGCAGAACTAGTCTGAAGAGCTTCGAATGCGAAGTGGCCTTGGTGTAAGATGTCAGCTAAAGAAAACGACTTGAATCTATTTCAAATGAGGTGTCTGGTGAGAAAAAATGCTGTGAAAGTCCAAGAAAAACAGAGCTGCTTAACATTGTGTGCATCTAACCTTGTAAAGAGGCTACAGACTTTTACAACAGGCTTTATATTAAACCTGTAGGGACAGTATGCTGGAGGGGAAGATAAAGCAATACATTATAAAAACCAAAGCTATCACTATACTGGGGAAATCCATCTGAACATGAAACCTGAGGCGCAAATGTGCTTGTTCTTGAGATACAATGACTGTGGAGGCTAGAGAAACTACTGACAAAAAAAAACAAAAACAGTTCTCAGATCCACAAACGTTGGGAATTGCTGGGGAGCAAGTGAGAGCGGGGTCTTTCTGATCTGAGCACTTATGCATGTCTATGAGCCAACACAAAGTGTGTGTTATCACTCAAACGGAGGCCACACATCTTTAACATTGAGAGCATGTGAATGAACTATAGCATCTGTTAATGATATCTACTGGCTCACGCAAACACCCCGAGGTAGGGTTGGATTTAACTGCTGCCAGACCTCAC